TCTGTGCCTTTATCTGAGTTTCTATTCCAGTAAATGTACCGCTTTCTCTTTAATACTGAGCCAGAAACCTGAAAATTATCTGTGATTCTTTTCCCTAGATCCTGTTAATTTATTGTATCATCTAAATATATTCTGAATCTGTGTACTTGTCTTTACCCCCTCTGTTCCTGGCTTACTACAAAGCTTCCTAAATGATCTCCTCATCTCTAATCTTAAACCACTGCAAATCTGCTCTCCACACCCAAACCAGAGTTCTCTTCCTAACATGCAAATGTGGTCACATCACTCACTCCCCTGGTTTAAACTCTGCAACAGTGTCCCCATTTCTTTATGTCACCAGGGTTGGCAACTGTGGCCTGTGGGCCAGATCTACCCAGCCTGTTTTGATACAGCCTGAGAACTGAGAATACTTTTTGTATTTTTAAAAGGTTGTTTAAAGACAGTGCACACACACACGCAGAAGAATATGCAGCAGAGACCATACGTGGCCTGCAGGTCTTCCGAATAAAAGGTTTGGCACTTTACCCTCAGGCTGAGCCTAGGCTGATGTCACTATAGCTGCTGCCAGACTGTGAAGGAAGAGGAACCCTAGGTTCTCCAAGGCACACCTAGGACCATAGTCAGTGCCCTGGGCTACTGGGAGAGTGAGACACAGGTGGACTGCACTCCCCACAGTGGTATTTTTCCCACCTTCCTTGACTAAGTGGGGCCCTGCCCTCACTAGTCAAAGGCTCACAATTGATAGCATGTTGAGAATTTAATGCTGGGCTATGACTTACCCTTGGGCCAAGTTTAAGGCCATGTAGGTGCAGTTACCACCTGGCTGGGGAGGGCCAGAGAAGAGCAAGATCTAAGAAGCACACGTAGGTCCATACACACTGCCCTGTTTTGAGTGACTATGGGACTAGAGAGTAGCCTTCCCAACCTGTTGCAGCTACTGACAATACTAAAACAGACTGTGCGAGTCCTGGTGGGTCACTCTGCTATTGCTACTGCCACCACCCACATCACAACAGCTGCCCAGGGGTCTGAGAACCTGCCCACATCCAGCCCACTACTCCTACTCCTAGCTTCTGAGTAAGCCAAGAATTGGTCCTCCAGGACCCACTGACACCAGTACCAGCATAAGCTGCTCTGCAGCCTAAAAGTAGACACTCAGCCTACTGCTGCCATCACCAGGCTCTGAAGATTGACTCAGTTAGCGTCTAAGTTCTTAGCAAAATTTCACCATAGCTTCAAGTAATAACTGTACCCTAATCCACTGCGGAAAGCGTGGATACCACTGACCCTGTGTATTGGTAAAGAAATCATTTAAGGATCACACTACCATCAGCACCCAGAATCAAAGCCAGAGTTTCCTACTCAACCAACAACATGTATACATCTGCAGGAAAAACTTCTCCATGTGAAAGCAATTTCAGAAAATTGGAAGGAGTGATTAGTACACCAGATGAGCAGGTGTCAACAGCAACAGAAGGACACGGGAGGTGTGAGGAAAGGAGAAGATCTGAGCTACCAAAGGACCACAGCAGCTATCCAGCCACAGGTCCCGCTCAAAAAGAACTGCTCAAAATGCCAAGTAAAGAATCCACACTATTTTTTTTTTTTTTTTTGAGACAGGAGCCTCAAGCCGTCCCCCTGGGTAGAGTGCCGTGGCATCTCAGCTCACAGCAACCTCCAACTCCTGGGCTCAAGCAAGTCTCCTGCCTCAGCCTCCCAAGTAGCTGGGACCACAGGCGCCCACCACAACGCCCGGCTATTTTTTGGTTGCAGCCGTCATTGTTGTTTGGCGGGCCGGGCTGGGGATTCGAACCCGCCACCTTAGGTGTATGTGGCTGGCACCTTAGCCACTTGAGCCACAGGCACCGAGCTACACACTATTAATTTTAAAGAAATTTGGTGAGATGCAAGGGAAATCTGAAAGCCAATACAAAGAGATCAGAAAATCAGTTCAGGTTATAAATGAGAAATATACCAAGGAGATAAAGATATCTTTTAAAAAAAACAACAAAAAATTCTGGAATTGTAATTTGTTAAAGAGAATACTAAATACATCCAAAAGCTAGTCTAGAGCAAGCAGAGGAAAGTATGTAGTATCTCAGAACTACATTAGACATTTTGAAATTATTCAGACAAAAATAAGGAACAAAGAATACAGAAGAATCAATGAAGCCTTTGAGACATCTGGGGATATGTAAGGTGGCCAAACTTATGAATTATTTGTATTCCTGAGGGGAAAGAGAAGTAAAACTGTTTAGAAAAACAATTTAAGGAAGTAATCAATGAAAACTTCCTAGCCAAGAGAGCTAGACATCCAGATAGAAGAGTCTGTGTGATCCCTAGGCAAATATATTGCAAGAAGGACTTCACCATTGCATATTATATTCAGAATGTCTAAAATCAAAGAGAAATAATCTTAAAATTATCAAGAAAAAAGCTTCTAGTCACCTATAAAGGAAACTCCATCAGATTGACAGCATACTTTTCCTCAGAAACCTTACAGTCCAGAAAAAAATGGGATGGCATTTTCTTTTCTTTCTTTTTTTTTTTCTTTGACACAGAATCTCACTATGTTGCCCTTGGTAGAGTACCCTGGCATCACAGTTCACAGCAACCTCAAACTTGGGCTTAAGTGATTCTCTTGCCTCAGCCTCTCAAATAGCTGGGACTGCAGGCGCCCACCACAACACCCAGCTATTTTTTGTTGCAGTTGTCATAGTTTAGCTGGCGGCCTGGACTGGGTTTGAACCCGCCAGCTTCAATGTATGTGGCTGATGCCGTACCCACTGTGCTATGAGTGCTGAGCCACAAATAGACATTTTTCAAAGTAAGACAAAGAAATGGCCATCACTAGTCATCAGAGAAATGGAAATTAAAACCACCATGAGATATCATTGTACATTGATGGTGAGAATGGTTATTATTAAAAAGACAAAAAATAACAGATGTTGGTAAGGGTGTGGAGAAAGGGAACTCTTCTGCACTGTTGGTAGGAATGTAAATTAGAAATTCTTCTCTATGGAAAATAGTATGGAGATTTCTATGGTACTATCCAGAAATCCCACTTATTGGGCATCTACCTAAAGGAAAATAAATCAATTTATCAAAGGGATACCTGAGCTCATGTATATTGCAGCACTGTTCACAATAGCAAAGAGATGGAATCAACCTAAGTATCCCTCACTTAGGATATTCTAATCATTTTAGGATTAAAGAAAATTGTGGTATACATGCACAGTGGAATTCTACTCAGCCATAAAAAAGAATGAAATTCTGTCTTTTGTAGCAACATGGATGGAACTGGAGGACATCACCTTGAGTGAAACAACTCAGACACAGAAAGACAAATATTTATGTTCTCACTTGTGAGTGAAAGCTCAATAATGAGTGCATAAGGAAGAGAGTTTGGGGTGACGGACATTGGAGACGCTTGGAGGGGTGGGCAGTGAGGGGTAATGAGTGCATGTGGAAGAGAGTGGGGGGTGATAGACAGGGGAGACGCTTGGAGGGGTGAGGGGTAGGGGGTAATGTGTGCATGTGGAAGAGAGTGGGGGGTGATAGACAGGGGAGACGCTTGGAGGGGTGAGGGGTAGGGGGTAATGTGTGCATGTGGAAGAGAGTCGGGGGTGATAGACAGGGGAGATGCTTGGAGGGGTGGGCAGTGAGGGGTAATGAGTGCATGTGGAAGAGAGTGGGGGGTGATAGACAGTGGGGATGCCCACACCCCCCACCCCTCCAAGTGTCTCCACTGTCTATCACCCCCCACTCTCTTCCACATGCACACATTACCCCTCACCCCTCCAAGCATCTCCACTGAGGTAGGGGGTGGAGATGGTGGGAGGTTGCTAGGTGGGTACACTGTGCATTTCTCCAGTGATGGAGGCACTGAAGGCCCTGACTTCACCACATGGAATATATCAATATACTTGTACTCCATGAGTATACACAAATTTAAAAGATTAAAAAAAAACACAAAAGAAATTGGAATTGTCAGAAAAAATTTGCCAGCCTGGCTCTACAGTGTCCGCAGGGAAAGGTGATCCAGAAAGTCCTGCATTGTCTTCCCCTTTTTTTGCCTCTCCAGTCCCCTTTTGTCACTTTCTCCAGCCCTTTTGCTCTGTGTTCCATCTACATTGCGTTTCAGTAAGTTACCTCTGGGTGGCCCATTTTGACTCAGCTGCCTTTAACTTTGATACGTGATTTCAAGATCACAGTCAATCAGTGGCCCGCTAGCATCACTTACTGAATTCTTTGTGCTCAGCACTACTGATATTGTATAAATTAGACAGTCTTCATTCCTACCCTTTAGGAACTTTTATTAGTAACGATAGACGTTGAACAAATAATTCAACGTATAATGACTTGTCAAAGGAAAAATACAGGTGCTATGGAAACTAGTTGAGGGGACAAAAAAACATAAACACAAAATGTTAATGCAAAATGTACATACTAGAATGTGGAAGCTCAAATCACCTCCCAGCACAGCACGACATCGTCAAATAAATGATAGAGGCTCGGAGCCTGTGGCTCAACCGGCTAAGGTGCCAGCCACGTACACCTGAGGTGGTGGGTTCGAATCCCTAGCCCAGACCCGCCAAACAACAATGACGGCTGCAACCAAAAAAAATAGCCGGGTGTTGTGGCGGGCGCCTGTGGTCCCAGCTACTTGGGAGGCGGAGGCAGGAGACTCGCTTGAGCCCAGGAGTTGGAGGGTGCTGTGAGCGTGATGCCATGGCACTCTACCCAGGGGGATAGCTTGAGGCTCCGTCTCAAAAAATAAATAAATAAATAAATAAATAAATAAATGATAGAGATGGCAGTGCCATGTAAATTCACAGGTGGGAGATACTGGTTCTGTAAAGATTTTATGCAGAGGGTGAGAATGGAGCCTGTACTTGACATTTGAGTAGATTTTCTGTGTGAATAGATTGGTGTGGGGGGAGTATTCTTCGTGACTGGAGCGTGGGTAAAGGCCCCGACTGGTGTCCTGGATTTGGAAGTCATGGTTGGGAAGGTGTTTGTTCACTCAATAAAAGTGAAAGCCCCTATGGAGATATGTAATAGGACTGTGGTGACGGGGTAAGAGAAAAGCAGTGTAGGAAAGAGCACTAGGGAGGAGGGAAAAGAGCAGGGAGCAGCAGATGTTTTGTGTCCGGTGCAGCAGAAAGACAAGGGGAGATGGAACCTGTGTAAGGCGACCAGATTTTAACATTGGTAAAGTGGGACACCATTGACCTGGGGTGGGGTGGTTCTTAATTAAAAATTTGGTCTATGTGGAGCAACAAATATTTTCATAGAACACAAAAATAGTATTGCAATATATATTTTTAAATTTCAACATAAGTACAATTTACAAATATAATACATTTAAAAAATTATGTATAGTATTATTTTATCCTTTGGCATATTTCTTATTTGAGTGAATTTTTTTTAGTAGCTTGCTGTGGCTGTTTAAAAGGTCATGAAATTTTTCACAAGAATTTGTTAAATTATATTTCAGACATAAAATGGCTTTCAAAGTCTCAACACTTAATTGTGATTTTTCTGATGTCCACACTTTATTTACCGTAGAAAAATGCATTCAGTTGCAGCATTAGTTCCTGGTAAGGACAGGGCATATCCCACAATTTTTAGCGCATTATTGTATGAAACGTGGTTTGTTTCAAAATGATGAAATATTTCTAACCGTTTGTTTTCTATTGTGTTTTTTGCTGATGCCCAAGATTTAACCTTTTCCTTATCGGTATATTTTTTTCATAATGATACCTCATAAGTCGTAAGTGTCACTTTCAAGGCCAGCGCTAGACTTTTTGCTGCCACTGTAAAAGATAAATAATATGAGTACTGTCTGCTAAATTCATGAAATAAATAAAATAAATTATCTGAATAGCTGATTTGTTGACATCACTTGTTTAGCACTAGCACGCAGTATGATGTGTATCATCTGAGAGACAGTTACAAAATGTTTTTGTCATTGCCAATGCCAAAAAATGCCATTATTCATTAAGTCCAAACAATGGTGGTCGAATTCTAACAACTGATCAACAATGTGAACTTTGATAAGCAGTTCTTGATAATCAGTTCTCAACAATTATTTGTTATTATTAAAGTTTAACATTATAAAATTAACAAAAATAATATAAAACTCATATCCTGGTGAAACAGCCACATGGCAGCTGAAAACTGTCTATTCCCTTCCCGTTCTTCCGCCATTCCCTAGCTTGTCGTGCATTCTTTCCAAAAATCAGGACTTTTTAAAAATGCTGCAGGACGCAGGACAAATTGTTAAAAATTGGGACTGTCCCACCAAAAGCGGGACGTCTGGTCACCTTGAACTTGTGGGAAGATTCTGGGTGTTGCCAAGTGGAGGGTCCTGTGCACCTGTGTCAGTCTTACCAGCTTACTACAAGGCCTTGAGGAAGAAGTAGTGAGATGAGGGCAACACAGATAGGCTACGTGGTTGAGGAAGAAGAGCAGATAGCATTGGAAGGAGGTCTATCAGAACTGAAGTCCAAGTTTGTAACATCATTATATAACTAAACTCCTAGTAAATTGTGGAAGGGAGAGGTTGGTGCTTATTTATTTGGTAGCATGGGCGTAGGACAGTAGGGCACGTTTACTTATAATTACCTTACTTTCGATGTCTCTTGTATAACTGGAGTTCACTTGGCAGCTCAGGATTACGTTTCTCGCAGAGCACCCTGGTCAAGCCCATGCAGACGCAGCACGTTTTTGAGAAGACATCCTCTCATTAGCTTTTTCCGTCATGGTAACTGGCCGAGACATCTTCTCCTCAGTTCAGTAGGAGATGTGTGTGAATCTGACCTGTCTTTGTCGGTATTTTATTACCCCCCACTCTCCGTTTCTCTGTTGAACAGTTTACCCATCGCCTTTGATTTACTGATCATGAAACAGAGGTGGAAGAGTTTCTTTCGTTGGTCACTGGTGGCCCTAATACTCTTTCTGGTGAGTTTTCTTTTTCTCTTGTTTTATTCTAAAGTTGTAATGAAAGAAGCAACTTTGATGTGAAAAAGGGAACATTCGGAGTTGATGCTGTTTTTCATTCTCATATTTTTCCTATTAGCATTTTGAGAATGTCTCCAAAGCAAAACTTTACAATTGCTCTGTATTTTCTGCTGTGTTTTAGGTGCCTGTGGTGGCCATCGACAGCTACTATTATGGGAAGCTGGTGATCGCACCGCTCAATATTGTTTTGTATAATATTTTTACTCCTCATGGACCTGATCTTTATGGTAAGGCTTTATGAAACTTGGGACGGTGTTAAGAGATAGCTTAATTTGTCTGAGCTTCAGAATTTTAATTCAGTTGCCTCGTTTCATCAAATACAGCATTTCTTTCCTGGGGATCATCTTTTCCTATTTTGAAAATAGAATGACATTTGAATATAGCGTAGTGATGACATGTAGCCATTCAAATATTTCCCCCTGACTAAGGTGATACGCAGATGCTCTCTGTCCTGCTATCAGTTACGCCAACCTTCAGAGTTTTGGGGACTTTGTTGCGCAGGCCTGGGTTTCAGTGCTATTTTTTTTTTAAATTAAAAGTTACTTTTTTTTTCTCCTCTTATTAGAAAAATCAGTGATAACAAAAAAAGAAAAACAACATATTTCCATCATCTCCACGTAGCTATTGTTAACCCCCGGGAGTATATTCCTGCAGGCATTTTCTTTCTTTCATTTTTTTTAGAGACAGACTCTTACTTTGTCACCCTTGGTAGAGTGCTGTGGCGTCACAGCTCACAGCAACTTCCAGCTCTTGGGCTGAGGCGATTCTCTTGCCACAGTCTCCCAAGGGGTGCCCACCACAATGCCTGGCTGAGTTTTTTTTTTGTTGTTGTTGTTGTTGCAGTTTGGCCGGGGCCGGGTTCAAACCTACCACCCTCAGTATAGGGGGCCAGCATCCTACCCACTTAGCCACAGGTGCTGCCCATTCCTGTAGACATTGTCTGTCCATATACACATTTGATGTCCATTAAAAAAAATTGCATTACTTTAATATCAGGAGAGAAAGTTTGGAAAGTCTGTAAGTAAAGTATAGCATATGGACCTGCTCTGGGGTCTGGTCTGGTACTTGGCCAGCTTGGGGTTAAGAGAAAAAAATTGAATGCCTTTAGCCTGGGATGCTTTCTTCAGGTTTCCTCATCCCTACCCCTTCCCTGATGCTTCTCACTCAGCCAGCCTCTGAGCTAGTTTTATTTGGCCCCTAAGAGCATTTGAGTTGGTTATAGTTTTAAGGGGAGGAGCTAGAGATCTTTCGGATCAGATCAGCTAGGGCAGTGAACACTTTATGAGGCAGTTTTTTTCATTAAAATAAGTGTGGTTTCTTCTGCCTAGCTCTTTCTAGGGTCTTAGAGCATTCCTATATTGCCTTGGGCCTCTGCTATGAAGCAGGTTACTGTTACCTCTGTCTGTACCTCTGATCAGGTTACAGTTGTTCTAATGGCCTGTGCTACTTGGCCATTAGAACCAACAAGTTGAGTGTGAAGACTTCAAGGAAGAGAAAATAAATGAGATTTATTTGAGCCTTCTGTGATTTGGGAATACTGTATTGACATTTTGACTGACATTTTGAATGTCAAGTAATATGTTAAAATAAGCAGTGGTTTGTTAAATGAATTGACTTCACAAACCACATGGTTAAGTTAGAGAATAATCACTAAATAGAAGAACTTTGAAAAGGCTCCTCTGTGGCTCTACCTCTGAGGATGTGAGAATGGCCCCCATGGTGAAGCTTTTGCCTCTAGATGTCTCCCTTTAGCTAGAGAGTTTGCATGTTTGTAATTGCCCTTGTTTTGTAAAATTTTGTTTGGTTACACAAGACAATCAAAGGCCTTAGACCCAAATTGTCATTTTACACGGAACCTATTGACCTATAATATCCGCTTTGTAGGGATGGATACATTAAGTAATAGGTTAATTTGTGTTAATTTTGTAAAACTGGCTTCTCCACCTTCCTGAATTAGTTATACTATATTGATATTCTGACTGCTACTTTAAAATTGTGAGAGAATATGAAAGTGATAGATTTTTTTTGTAGCCCTCTGGGTTGGTGAGGTTTGTAAATATAGAAATAATTAGCTTGTTAGGGAAAGGAGGAAAGAAAGAATAAATTCTGATTTAAAGTTTTGTTTCTAGTTTGCAGTGGATTGGGGACCCCTGCAGTAGGTTTTAGGACCCAGTGGAACTGTGGCCGGTCTTTCTGAGGACACTGGCATTTGCTGGTCATTTCAGTCTTTTACTGTGAAGAAGTCTGGGGGTTTCTTTCTGCCTACTTTGATGAACCTGCTGCATTTCACGTTTTCCTATTTTGGGTGTGCAAGGGCTGATTACTCTCCTAGTGGTAGCAAAAGCCTTGTTAGGACAGAGAGCACTGTGTCACTGGCCATTAACAGGACAGGTGCAGTCCTGTGGTCAGGCAGACTCTGGGGTGTTGCTCCTTGATTGTAGAATGTTTGTGCTTTTATCTCATCTCAGAATTTGACAATTTTTTTTAGTCTGATTTCCATCCTTTTAAAGAGTGTTACCTCCTTTTTGCTTGTGCAGGCCTGCAGAGAGACTTACTACTTCCATATTAGGAGTAGAAATTCTTTGTATATACCAGGTTTATAGTAGAGATTTGTTAGAAAGTAATGACTGAATTCTGGAGGATCCATCAGGTTATGTTAGTGCCCTGTGTCCTAAAATCACTTGGGTAAGACTGTTAATCAGGTAAGAATAATAGATGCAACATGCCCTCCTCCCTTTGTTAAAGAGATGGGGTCTTGCTCTGTTACCCAGGTTGGAGTGCAGCGGCTTGGTTGTAACTCACTGTAGCTTCAAGCTTCTGGGCTCGAGTAATCCTGCTTCCTCAGCCTCCTGAATAGCTGGGACTATAGGTGCACATCATTACACCTGGCTAATATTTTGTATTTTATGTAGAGACAGTCTCGCTGTTGCTTAGGCTGGTCTTGAACTCCTGGCCTTAAGTGATCCTCCTGCCTTGGCCTCCCAAAGTGCTGGGATTACAGGTGTGAGCCACTACACCTGGACCATAAAATACTTTTAAACCAGAATGTACTTTATGGTCATCACCTAATTTTATCATAATTGGTGATTCCATATAGTAAATATCAAAGACCTTTTTTTTTTTTTTTGAGACAGAGTCTCACTTTGTCATCCTGGTAGGTGGGCATCATCATAGCTCACAGCAAGCTCAAACTCCTGGGCTCAAGAGATCCTCTTGCCTCATTTTTTTTCTATTTTTAGTAGCGATAGGGTCTTGCTCTTGCTCAGACTGGTGTCAAACTGCTGAGGTCAAGTGATCCTCCCATCTCAGCCTCCCAGAGTGCTAGGATTACAGTATGAGACAACAGTTGCTTTGATGCTGTAAAATTGTCAAATGGAGAGAAATGGTGTCTTTTGTCTTGGAAACTCTTGTTCTTTCACTTTACTTGGAAGCGTTTGGCAGTGTTTAGCATTATTTCAGCTATTTCACAAGAGTCTCCTGCTCTAAGCGCCTTGTTAGCTCTAATAACCACACAGTTTCTTATCTGAAAAGTAAAAATCCATCGTACAGATAGTTTTTGCTACACCTCTTGGCGCTGTTGCCCATCTGTAAGAACACACTGTGAGGAGCCTGTAATTGCTTCTTTTTTTTTTCTATAAATACTTCTTGGACAAATAGTTAGAGAAATGCTGAATAAATTGCTTTTGATCACTTAAAATGTGTCCTCGTGGAACTTGCTATCTAATAAGGCTGCAGACGCACAAACAGATAATTACGGGATGGTGTATTATATGCTGCATTGGGGAGACAGTCGGGGGATCACGGGAGCAGGTCCCTCTGGTGGCTTCAGAAAGGGTATGGTTCTTGAGCAGAGCCTGGAAGGAAGAGTGGGAGTGTAGAGGTTAGGGGGTGCATGTCAGACAGATAAAATGTCAGGTGTAGGGACTGCCGAGGCAAAAAGATTGAGTACTGAAGTCTTTTGAAAAATGTATTAGTTTTATAGTATTGGCTGAATATTAGGTAGCGACTGTTCAGGCCTCACCAAAGTAATTTCAGTCTCTCTGTCATGATTGCAATCATGTAAATATTTACCCCCTTTATTATTCTTGGTTTTCAAAGGGACCTCTTTATACTTTCTTGGCTAATAGCATATGCTGATGACACATGTCAGTTCTGAGTTGACCCCTTTGTTTTGAAGCCAGAGGAACAAAGGAGTCCTTTTCACAGACATTGATGATAGTAGCTTCTATTTATTGAATGCCTATTATATGCCAGAAATTTTACACACACCATCTTCTCCCCTCGCAGAAACATGCCTAATGAGATAGGCATTATTTGTCTTTATTCCCAGATAAGGAAATGAAAGTTGAAATGGGGAGGAACGTGCCATGTTGTCCCCTTTGAAGGTTTGTGAGTCCCTGGAGAGCTCGGGTGACAGAGTGACAAGCTCACTGTCAGGCTCCCTGTCACCAGGGAGCACTGCACCAGACCCTTTTTTTGAAAAAAGATGAGTATTTGGATGAGGTAGAGAAAACTTGGCATTGAGGAAATTTAGAATAGCGAAGACTAAAATTGCAGAGTCATAGGTAAAACATCTCTGTGGAATCAGAGATCAGGAGGTTAAATTTAGTGTTGCCAAAAAAAAAAAGAGATGGGTCTTGGCACTGATTTCACCTCTTGAAACATTTCAAGTTCTCATGTGTTGATGTCAACAAGTATTTTTGTCTGGTGAGTGAAGAGTGGGACTATGATGAGGGGGACACAGGCCTGGGGAAGGCTCAGGAGGACACTGATAGGAAACGCTCTTCCCTCTGATGAGGGGGTCACAGGCCTGGGGAAGGCTCGGGAGGACACTGATAGGAAACCTTCTTCCCTCAGAAAAAACGGTGGTCTACTCAGGATGCCACTTTGCCGCCTAGGACAGGATCCCTTGCCTGTTGACACACTTTATCAGGGTCTGTTGGATGACTGGCTGGGAAGTTTTAAAGGTAAAGGCGAGTGCCCTGCATTAGCAGGCCCACGGTTTCCCCTTCTTGCAGCAGCAGAGGAAGAATCCCCGATGGGGTCTTCTGAGTCCTGCTGACAGTTGGCTCCAGCCAGAACCGTTCTAGAGCCTTTGTTTTTCTGTTAATTCTGTATTTTTCTTCTGAGACAGAGTCTCACTTTGTCACCCTCAGTAGAGTGCTGTGGCATTATCATAGCTCACAGCAACCTCCCTCGGTTTTTTTATTTTTAGTAGAGACAAGGTCTCACTCTTGCCTCTCTCGGGGCTTGAACTCTTCAGCTCAGCAATCCACCCACCTCAGCCTCCCAGAGTGCTAGGATTACGCCTGGCCTTTTGTTAATTATTTCCATTGAAACTTGGAAGCTTTCCCCTCTTAGTGATACAAATTTGACGTTTTAAAGTATGACTTACTACAATTTAGGTCCTACAGTTCTGTCAAATTATAGTTATGTAAAACGGTTCCCCTCATTCAATCTATGGAACAGTCAGCATTATCCTTCTTCTGGCCTCTCTGGAGCTGCCTGCAGTTCATTTTAATGGAAGGAGTTGAGGGACTTTCTATAAAAAGGAAGGTTGGTGCGTCACTCCCTGCAGAGACCGAGCTGCCAGCCTTCTTTCCCTGACACCTTGCACCAGCTCACCGCTCAGCTTGTCATTCTGACGTGTTTTTTTCTGCATAGTTCAGCTTTAATGCTTTCTGAACAGCAGCATTAAGTACCTCCCAGGAAAGAGAGAGAAGTTTATGCCTTTGTATCTCTTAAGGCACGTGTCTCACCAGGTAGGGAAGAACACTGGCTCATACAGTTCACTCTTTGTGTTCCCTTTTGCCCTTGTTTTTAAGACTGTTGTTAGCTGAACCTTCTTCACTCTTGGCTTATCCCCCAGTTTTTGCCCCATCCTTCAGGGAAATAACAGTTGATTATGAAATGTTCCCAGCCCAGCTGAGAACTTTATTTATGAGCTCCTACCACATAAGAATAATTGAGCTTACTAACTTAATACTTTTATTTCTGCATCTCAGAGTACAGAGTGCAGAGTTCTGATAGGAAGGCAGAGTGAGTTGTGTTACAGATACATATTTTCTAGAAACTTAAAAGCTTCCTTGAAAGAACAGTCTGTATTTGCAAATATCCGAGAGACAAGGAGCTTGTTTCTATTGATGCCGAGCCCCTGTAATAGGTGATGTCAAGGATGACTCCATTTCTCTCTGGTTACTCTGTGGTTTTTCTTCACAAGCTCAGATTTCCAGCATTCTGTTAAGAAAAAAAGCAGGTCAAAGGTTGATAGCACTGCCTCTAGGCTGGTGGCTAGGAGAGGATTGTGCAAAAGCTTACCTCTCTGGATCTGAACCCTAAAGTACTCCGTTTAGGATATATGTTGTTAAATATTAATTAAAATCCAGAGAAGACATATATTTCCATTTTTTAAATAAAACTATCCATTAGTTTTCAAACCCAATGTTACTTGTAAAGAATACGAGATGAAAATGCCCCTGATGAACTTGGCCCCAAATTGGACCTCTGTTCATGAATAATCTGTCATTGGGTTTAGAAAGGAAAACGTGAGCTTCCCTCAAAGGTGACACGCAGTTGAACTTGAACTTTCCTTAGTATAACTTCCCTCCTTCTTACTTCTCCCTTGAATGTTTCCAGCATTATGGGTTTGGTTTCTAATCTTATTTTGCTGTGCAAGCTACAAGAATGTCAGGTTTTTCTGACTATTCCTCTGCCTTCTAATTACCCTTTTAAGCAATGCTGATTGCAGGAAATTGCTATGGTGCAAGGCGGGTGTCACAACACACAGTGATTAGAACCCGCGTGTGTCATTCACTGCCTGATTGAAGTAATCACACAGAGGGGAAAAGCAGATGAGAAAACCTGCTAAATGTGCACAGGGGGCTGTTGCTCATCATTCGAGTTTAAGGAGCTTGAGTTAAGAGTCAAAAAAAAAGTTGTGAGTGAGGCTTGTGGTTTAAGTCATTTTGCTTCATTCTGAAGCCTCCAAGCTTCTGAGCGGGGCCTGGCTCTCTGACCACGATCCTGGTCAAAACAAGTTGTTGCTTTTTACTGAACACATGGTGCCCTGCGTACACGACTATAAAATAGCGGCTGAGCCTATCAAGGGGAAAGAGGCTGCAGTAGAAATGGGACAAGCAGGTGAAAACAAAGTCATTCTTCTCCCTTTTGTCTGCAGAGTATTGACAGACTAGTTAAGTTGAAATGGCTTTTTTTTTTTTTTATCATTTTAGTTCTATGTAGCTTGAAAGATATTTATATTATTTAGTAGTTCTGAAAAAGTATTTGTTCCATTTGGACATAGCAATTGGGGCTAGATGGAGAGGGTTATCTAGAAAATACCCTAACTATTTGGAACTTGTTTTCTGTCAAGGGTGTCCAACCTTTTTTTTTTTTCTCCAATGCACATTGGGAAAATAAGAGTTGTGTTGGACCACGCATTAAATACACAGTCACTAAGGAAAGCTGATTAGCAAAACAAAGTCTGCGCATACTTCTCGTGATATCTGACACCACAGATAAGGAGAAAAAGTCCTCAAAATCATGGGGTGGGGGACACAGGGTGGACACCCACTCTAAATCTTCCATGAACAATCCCATTCTCTTCCTGTCTTCTGGTTTTGTGCACCTGTGTGTGGCTGAGCTTGGAAGAGCAGGTTGTGGACTCCATTCACTTGAGGCTTAGGATCGTCTGTGCTATTTAAACAAAGAACATGATGTGTCAAGTGCTGTAATTGATGTGGAAGGCATCCAATAATGATTCCTTACCTCTTGTGTCTCCCCTAGGTACAGAACCCTGGTATTTCTATTTAATTAATGGATTTCTGAATTTCAACATAGCCTTTGCTTTGGCTCTTCTGGTCTTGCCACTGACTTCTCTTATGGAGCACCTGCTGCAGAGGTTTCACGGTGAGTAGGGTAACAGGTGGTCGGCTTTCTGGGAGGAAAAGAGCAAGTAACAGTGTATACCCAGACCTGAAGAAGAACCCCACTCATTATTGTCCGTGGTCTTCCTGTGGAAATGGTTGCCTTACTGAGTTTGCAGTCTGTATTTGTTGATTATTTGAACCTATGTGCAGATTTGGTTAATTCTTGCAAATTGACCCGACAGAGAGCTTTGCTATCCCTTCAAGTTAGGAAGTCAGTATAATTTGTTCAGTCACCCAGGAAGGCAAAAACGTTTATAACATTTCAGAAGATAACAACTGGCCAGGCGTGGTGGCTGACATCTGTAATCCTAGCACTCTGGGAAGCTGAGGCAGGTGGATTGCTTAAGCTTAGGAGTTGGAAGTCAACCTGAGCAAGAGAAAGATCCCATCTCTACTAAAAATGGAAAAATGAGCTGGGTGTCGTGGCAGGCACCCAGTAGTCTCAGCTACTTGGGAGACTGAAGCAAGACGATCACTTGAGCCCGAGAGTTTGAGGTTGCTGTGAGCAATGATGCCATGGCACTCACGGAAGTGAGACTCTTATCTCCAAAAAAAAGAGAAGGTGACAGCCCTAGTTCAGTCTTCTATTTTTTAAAGAACTGTGTGTTAACCTGGTAGATTGGTTAAGATAATGCATGCTAGAGGCAAATATACTTTGGAAAAGTATTTCAGCCAAACATATAAAAACTGGAGCAAAAAGATTCCCCCAAATTTGATCCTGAAGTCAGAGGAGCTCAGATTTCTCTGAAGCCTTGCTGTGGAAGGTGTGGTTTGCTGTTTATCTTGCCTGCTCTGAGTCTGTGTTGCACAGCTGGTGTTTTCTCGAGTTATCGTGGAGCTGGTATCTAGAGCCAATCTTTTCTTTTTATGGAAGAGAGATCTGAACAGCAATTCATCTGAGGTTTGGAAAGAGATTTAATTTCAGATGTTTCAGTCTGATTTTGGATGCCGCATGATTGATCTCCTCATTCTACCTTTGTTCTGTTTTTCTACTGGAATGACTTATAACAACTTCGGTGCGTTTTAATATCAGAACAGCCTTCAGAGTCATTTGTTTTGTGTTAGGACTTTTGTTTTAACCTAACCATAATGCCATTATCCTAACAAAATTAATAGTAATTCCTTAACATCATCTAATACTCAGTCGATATTCAAATTTCCTAGGTTGACTGGAAAAATAGCCTTTCGTAGTTGGTTCTAAGCCGAATCTAAATGAGGTTCACGCACTGTGTTTGGTGTAATTTTACTTTAGCTTTGTAAGAGGCCCCCCCATCTCACTTGTTTTCTCCCAAGATTTCTTTAAAGAAACGAGGCCATTCATTTTGCATAACGTCCTACATTTTGGATTCAGCTGTTTGCTCCCTTGAGGTGTTAACTTATTCCTTTATACCTTCTATTTCTTGAGGATCACTTTTCTTTTCTTTGAAAAGTAACTTTTTCTGACTGTAAAAATAATTTATGAGGGGGGAGGAGGGGATGGGTAAATTCACACCTAACGAGTACAACGCACAGTATCTGGGTGAGGGGCCCTCTTTCAACTTTGACTCCATCTGTACAAAGCAAACTATGGAACGAAAATTTCTACACCCCCCCCATAATATTTTGAAATAAAGAAAAATAAATGGGTCAGTGCCTGTAGTCCAGTGGTTAGAGAACTAGCCACATGTCCCAGGCCTGGTGGTTTCGAACCCTGCCCAGACCAGCTAAACAACAATGACAATAATAACAAAAAAATAGTCGAGCATTGTGGCACCTGTAGTCCCAGCTACTGGGAGGCTGAGGCAAGAGAATCACTTAAACCCAGGAGTTTGAGGTTGCTGTGAGCTATGACGCCACGGTACTCTACTGAGGGTGACATACTGAGACTCAGTCTCAAAAAAAATAAAAAGAAAGAAAAATAACCACCAACAAAAAAAATTTATGATGGCTAGGTGAGGTAGCACACACTCCGAGTTTCAACTGCTCAGAAGGCTGGCAGGCTGAGGAGGGAAGATCACTTTAGCTTAGGAGTTCAAGGCCAGCCTAGGCAACATCGTGGAATAATAATAATAATTTGTACTTGTGGAAAATTTGGAAATTCTTGTGATGTAAGTAAAAACATAGGCCATCAAGCTGTTTTCTATAGTAGGAAATAATTATATGGCATAAACTAATAATGATTTAAAATGTGTAATGTCCACCCATATCTACCTGATAAGAGAATGAGTACTTTGTGTTTTTTCAAAATATTTTGATTTGTCTTATACAACATAAATAATACTTTTTTAGAAGAAAAAACATAAAACTACAAAGAAGCAGGAAGTAAATTACCCATGATTCCATCATGTTCTACTGTGGTTGTGATTTTTATGTATTTTATGGAGGATATTTCCAAATATTTGGCCACATTGTAAAATAATTTTTTAGCCCTTATGGTGCAAGAGAAAAAAGGACTGTTTACTTATACATAATAAATAGATGTATTTTCTTCTAATTAAAAAATATTCTCACTTAAAATATACTATGTGGAAAAGCATAAATCCTAAATCATAGGATTTATCTCATAAAATCCTAGACCAAAAAGTTTTAAAAATAATCTTATTATTGCAGTTCAAGAATTTTTATCCCTAAAGAATTTCTACAGCAATCCAGATAACTCAGGAATGCTAGATAAGGCGGTGCTGAAGGTGGTCTCAATGGTAGTCCTATCTTGAAGTCTAAACTTGCTCACTACAGCACAGTGGACACCAGGGGGCACTGTATACCTACCCTTTGCCAGTATCTGCACAAAACGCAGTAGACGCCTTCACTGTGGGTTGCAGGCTTGTCACTCAGTGCTTATGAACCTAACCTCAGGAACTTTCCAGCAGGTTCTTGAGTCTTAGTGTTTGTTTGATACATTCCTTTAGTTCCTTTCACATGCTTTAAGTACATTTTGGTTCCAATTTTGGGATTCAAAGTGGATGAGTATTGCAGAAGTGGAGAAAAAACTTCAGTCAACTTCCTTTAAGAGCATTTTTGTAATTTTTTTTTTTTTTTTTTTTTTTTGCAGTTTTTTGGCCAGATCTGGGTTTGAACCTGCTACCTCTGGTATATGCGGCCGGCACCCTACTCCTTTGAACCACAGGCGCCGCCCAAGAGCATTTTTGTATTTGCTTTGAAACAAACTTTGTCATTTGTGGCTTGATGAAAACCAGTGATGAGTTTGAGAATCCAACCATTTTTTTCCCTCTGATCTATGGCTATTTGAACAGACTGATGTATAGATAAGAGGATGAACGTATTAAACAGAATGTAGGAATTAAAACCCAAGAAATGAGTTTATGTTATACTTTTTTTTTGAGGCAGAGCCTCAAGCTGTCACCCTGGTTGGGTAGAGTGCTGTAGCATCACAGCTCATAGCAACCTCCAACTCCTAGGCTTAAGCGATTTTCTTGCCTCAGCTTCCCAAGTAGCTGGAACTACAGGTGACCACCACAATGCTCAGCTATTTTTTGGTTGTAGTTGTCATTGTTACTTGGCAGGCCTGGGCTGGATTTGAACCCTCAGCTCTGTTGTATGTGGCTGGTGCCTTAGCTGCTTGAGCTATAGGTGCCGAGCCAGGTTATACTTTTGGTTAATCTCAGAACCTTTAGTTTTTAGTGGCAGAATTCATTAGTGGTAGATGGCTTTGTTTTCTTTACCCAGCATAGAATATATTATGTTTAATTATCCATTAATTTGATTTTCATTTGTGTTCTGGCCACATCCAGTATTGTGCTTCCCTTTTATATTTCGGATCTCTTGGTAGAACCAGAAAATATATTCCTATTTCTACTTGAGACTTGATTGTGTTATTGCATTATAGAAAGTGTGAATACAAGCGTTGAAACATTTTTTTGTTTTAGAACAGAGTCTCACTATGTCCCTCTTGGTAGAGTGTCATGGTGTCATAGCTCACAGCAACCTCAAACTCTTGGACTTAAGTGATTCTCTTGCCTCAGCCTCCTGAGTAGCTGGGACTACAGGTGCCCACCATAATGCCTGACTATTTTTTTGTTGTTGGCTGGGGCCGTGTTTGAGCCCGCCACCTCCAGTATATGGGACCAGTGCCCTACTCCTTTGAGTCACAGGTGCCGCCCAATGCCTGGCTATTTTTTTAGAGATGAGGTCTCTCTCTGGTTCAAGCTGGTCTTGAACCTAAGAGCTCAGGCCATCCATGTCCTAAGGCACACTTCCAAATTTGAGATCAGGATAACATTGAAACTAAATATACTGTTTTGTTCTAATATGTTGAAAGGTGGATATTTTTCTGTGTCTTGCAGTTCAGAATTTAGGCCACCCATATTGGCTTACCTTGGCTCCAATGTATGTTTGGTTTATAATTTTCTTCATCCAGCCTCACAAAGAGGAGAGATTTCTTTTCCCTGTATATCCACTTATATGTCTCTGTGGCGCTGTGGCTCTTTCTGCACTTCAGGTGAGTTTCGGGGAATAGCATATCTGCCTTGTCCTGTTTTGCTTATTAAATAATTGCTCACAAAACTTAAGTGGGAATTATTGAATGCTTTCACCTGAGGTATCTTATCTACAGCATTAAACCTGATACTGATCATATTATTAAAGTTTATATTGATTGCTTAGATCAGGGGTCCTCAAACTTTTAAACAGGGGGCCAGTTCACTGTCCCTAAGGCCGTTAGGGGTCCGGACTATGGGCCCCGGGACGAGTTGGCTGCTAAGCAGGACAGGCAGCGGCAGCAAAAACATCCAGCAGATAAATGTTCTGGGCAGGCTGCATGTGGCCTGTGGGCTGTAGTTTGAGGCTGCCTGGCTTAGATGCTTATCATACTCTTATTTGCTGATTATGTGTGTTTTCAGTGTTAATTTGTCAACAAGAATCCAATCGCAGAATTCCATCCTGTGGCAGAGCTAATAGAACATATGCTCTTAAAAAAAAAAAAAAGAACATATGCTCTTCAACTTATAGATTGGACTAAAACTTGCTTAAGAGTTTGGGGATTATAGCAGGCAGGCAGCAGTGTGGGGCACTGTGTAATCCTGGTTTAAAACCTGTCTAGGTCAATTCCCAAAGCTAATCTTTGAGTATGTCTGGACTTAGTTTCAGGAACCTTGGAACTCTTTCTTGTCCTCTGCTACCATTTGCAATTGGCAGAAAAAAATAATTAGGATGATAGCTTTATTGATGGGGGTGATTGGTGTGCTCTCACTTAAAGGGCACAATATAGGGGTGTATGGCACACCTTTTGGGTGCAGGATACAACTACAAAAGAGACTCTACCTAACAAATTAAAAAATTGTGACCTGGTTGTTGTACCCTCACAATAACCTGAAATAAAAAAATATGTATAGGTATATTTCTTGAGATAGAATTGACAAATCATACAGTTCACCCATTTAAAGTATATAATTCAATGATATGCTTATCACAGATGTGCACAACCACCACCACAGTCAGTTTTAGAATATTTTATCATCCGAGAACCCTGTACCCTTTAGCTGTTGTCCCCCCACCTCCAGTCTCTTTCTCACATCTTCCCACCCTTAAGTGACCCCTAATCTACATTTTGTCTCTGTGGAGTTGCCTGTTCTGGGCCAGGTGCAGTGGCTCACGTCTGTAATCCTAACTCTGAAAGGCTGAGACAGGAGGATTCCTTGAGCTCAGGAGTTTGACATCAGCTTGACCAAGAACGAGACCCCCATCTCTACGAGAAATAGAAAAATTAGCTGGCAGTGGGAGCCTGTAGTCCCAGCTACTCAGGAGGCTGAGGCAGGAGGATGGCTTGAATCCAGGAGTTTGAATCCATGTACTAAGCTAGGCTGATGCCATAGCACTCCAACCTTGGGCAACAGAGTGGGTCTGTGTCTCAAAAAAAGGGAAAGATTTCTTATGCTGGATATTTCACATAAATGGAGTCACAGAATATGTGGTCTCTTATGACTGGCTTTTTTCACTTGGCATAATGTTTTTAAGGTTTAGCAATGTTAGGGTAATTGTTTTAAAAAATAATTTTCATGGGCGGCACCTGTGGCTCAAAGGAGTAGGGTGCCGGCCCCATATGCTGGAGGTGGCGGGTTCAAACCCAGCCCCAGCCAAAAACTGCAAAAAGTAAAAATAAAAAAAAATAAAAAATTATAATTTTCATTGTAAAAGTAATTGAACTTCATTGTGAATAATTTAGAAAATAGTAAAAGAAAAATCAGTCTCACCAGCATAACAAAAATACCTTTCAGCCTTTCAGGATTTATTATGATTGTGATAATAAATGTGCATATCATTTTATATCATTTAAATTTAACATTATATCATTAAATTCTCCATGTTGCCATAATCTGTACTCATCATTTTAATTGCAGTATAACATTCTGCTGACTTGGATATAATATATAGCAATAGTATGAAATATATAACATGTAGGCTTGATTATAGCAAAATGTTATGATTGATTGAATATCATTCACAGTAGAATTTGGGTTGCTCATTTATTCGATATTATAAATACTGTTAGGATAAATATCTTCATTTAGATATTTGAATTATTTCCTTGGGACAGATTCTCCCAAATATGAAAAGGGTTTAAACAGATTGAGGGCCTTTGTTACATACTGCAAAATTGCTTTCCAAAAGTAGTTTCCACCTTGGGGGGAAGGCAGGAAGGAAAGAAATCTGAGGGGAAGACACTGAAAGACAGCAGAGTTCGTCCATGTGTGTGTATAATATGATAACAGGGACCTAGTTCATGAAGTATTTCAGCAGGTAATTAACAGCACACCCTAGGGTTTTGTGAGGGGAGTTCTTTTTTCTTGTTCGGTCATGAGATATTTTGTTGATACTAAAATCTTTGATGAAAACTTGTTGGTGAGAAAAATAAAGATTAATGCTTATTGTATTAAAACAAATTTCAATATTTCATATATCAAGGAAAACTATCAAAGCATTTTTGTTTAAAAAAGTGTTTTAAAAAAGAATTTATTAGGACTTAAATGCGAACAAAATAATCCAGATAATTTTCCTGTGAAGCTAGTGAGATTTTGTTCTTGGCAAACCCTCTGGCTGGCCCAGACTCTATACTCAGTCGTTTTTGTTTTTTTTTTTTTTTTTTTGAGACAGAGCCTCAAGCTGTCCCCCTGGGTAGAGTGCTGTGACATCACAGCTCACAGCAACCTCCAACTCCTGGGCTCAAGCGAGTCTCCTGCCTCAGCCTCCCAAGTAGCTGGGACCACAGGTGCCTGCCACAATGCCCGGCTATTTTTTGGTTGCAGCTGTCATTGTTGTTTTTGGTGGGTTTGGGCTGGATTCGAACTTACCACCTTAGGTGTGTGTGGCTGGCGCCTTAGCCACTTGAGCCACAGGCACCGAGCCTCTATACTCAGTCTTAGAGGAGCTGGCTTTTATCTTGGAGTTAGCACCTAACTAAGTGTTTGCAAATGCTCAGACCCTCAACGGAAACTCTTTCTGACTTCTAGTTATTGTAATGTCTTGTGATTCTGGAGGGCATATCTTCTTTTATCAACGGAGTTTTCTTTCCTTCTATAATAGAAGTGTTACCACTTTGTGTTTCAACGATACCGTCTAGAGCACTACACTGTGACGTCCAACTGGCTGGCCTTAGGAACCGTCTTCCTGTTTGGACTCTTATCGTTCTCTCGCTCCGTGGCCCTGTTCAGAGGTAGATGCACTGCGGATATCTTAGCCACACTAAGGAGGCACCTCACTTCAGGCTTTGCATGATGCATGATGGTTTAATACCCATCTGGCTTACAGTAGGAAGAGGCCTTTTCTAAAGGGAAAACCTGCACACTTCGTAAGTGGGATGTCACTTTTGTATTTTAGGATTGAAGAGAAGATTAACTCCTTGTAGTGTGATTAACCATAAATTTTTTTTCTCTTTTTTTGTTGATGTTTTCCCTTTTAATGGATGCTGATGAATTAAACAAGCCTTAAAATGCAAACCAGAGCCTAAATTCTCATGATTATACTCTGATAATCATGTGGATCTAGAATATTAAAATATGTTCAAGGAATATAAAAAGGCAGAGGGTGTAACAGAGGGCAAGAAAGCAAATTATTTTTGGCAAAATAGGCCTCTGTGTAACCAACTTTGCAGCTAGAGAGACATTTTATACCTGGAGCGCAGGCTTCCTGCTGGAATTGCTCAGGCCCTTCAGGCTCTTCAAGTTTCATGTGGATTGTAGTGGGATGTCAGCACGTATGATCATGAAATGTCAGCGTTTCATCTTCCTCATCTTTGGCTTTCGCCAACTATTCTCCATTCCAGGATATCATGGGCCCCTGGATTTGTATCCGGCATTTTACCGAATTGCCACAGACCCAACCATCCACACTGTCCCGGAAGGCAGGCCCGTGAATGTCTGTGTGGGGAAAGAGTGGCACCGGTTCCCCAGCAGCTTCCTTCTGCCTGACAAGTGAGTTGTCTTTTTAATGCCCAGAGTTTTCAGTCAAGGACTAAATATAGCAGTTCTGTGGCAGTGTCTTCTTAATTTCATTTAATTTTGGAGTTTTCACAGAAAGTTGTTGAATTGTTTACCATTGCAGAGAGTTGGGGGTATCCTGTATCCATTAGGTTGAGAGCCTAAACAGGTGTCTGGGGTCTTCTGAGAATGCTTTGAGCCCTAGGCTTCCTGAGGACTCATATTTACATTTCTATAATTATCTGATATTAATCCACTTCCAAAAGTGGTCTAGAAACTCCAGCTAGAAGAGTGTTTTTAGGGAAGAAATTTTTCCCATCCAACCACAGTGAAAGTCTTCCACTAATATAAGGACTTTGGAGAAAGCTGTGGTCACGATGTCTCTGCTGGTTTCCTTTATGCTGTCGGGGTTGTTAGGTGGGGTGGCACAGGCCTTAGAATTCCCTGTATTTTGCTTAATTTGACCAGAGAAGGGTTCTGATTAGGAAAGGGAAATCTGGTGAAGATGGGGTATATTATTCCATTTGAGGACCGTCTTTGGCAACTTAGCTTTATCTCATGCTTCATAAAAACCGTGTATCAGTCATCAATAATTAGATTAGATTAAATTAGATTAAGACTTGTTTTCTAAGTGTTGATCTTGGCCTTTGCCTCTTAACATGTGAAATAGTTTCAGAGCTAGCAGATATTTTCTTTTTTTTTTTTTTTTTTGAGACAGAGCCTCAAGCTGTCCCCCTGGGCAGAGTGCCGAGGCATTACAGCTCACAGCAACCCCCAACTCCTGGGCTCAAGCGAGTCTCCTGCCTCCGCCTCCCAAGTAGCTGGGACCACAGGCGCCCGCCACAACGCCCACTATTTTTTGGTTGCTGCCATCATTGTTGTTTGGCGGGTCCGGGCTGGGGATTCGAACCCGCCACCTTAGGTGTACATGGCTGGCGCCCTAGCCGCTTGAGCTATAGGGGCCGAGCCGCTAGCAGATATTTTCGAGGCTTCCTCAGGAACAAGACATTTCTCTAACAATGCATGATTCTTAGCGCCATGCATTACATTTCACTCTTTTTCTACCCCCCTGATGAATTTGCTTTAACCCTCTGATCATGTGGTAACCGTGACACTTTCCTGGTTGTCTGATGGTGTGGCTGTTTGGTTGCGAATTTTACTGCTGAGAGTTGACGAAGTGGGTCAAGAGATCTGTAGCTCTGCATGTCTCAACGATTTTGGACTGCTTGGCGACCCCTGCCTCTGTATTCCCGGGTTGAGGTTTCAGCAGAAATAATTTTTTTCTTCAAGTGAAATGTTTTTCATGTTCCTGTGCTTTTTTTTGACTTGTTTGTTTCAAGTACATTTAGCAATATAATCCCCCGGTGTTTTTATTATTCTCCTTATTTGTGTTTCTGACAGTTGGCAACTTCAGTTCATTCCATCAGAGTTCAGAGGCCAGTTACCAAAACCTTTTGCAGAGGGACCACTGGCCACCCGGATTGTTCCTCGTGACATGAATGACCAGAACCTAGAAGAACCATCCAGATACGTAAGGGTCACATTCTCCTTTTGCTTCTTTGAAAATAAATCGACCTCTAAAACCTATTGGCATAAATAGGGAGCACTGACAAAATGAGAATTTCTTAGAATTTTTTTAGGGTAAGGAACATAACTTTGATTGAGAAAGAGTGAAGAGTGTTACTTTTATTTTCAAATTAACCTCATTTCTTATTTTCTGTCTAACACATATAATTTAATTTCTAAGCTTTTGTGTTAACTGGAAATTTTTCTGTTGTAAAATATGTACCAATATTCTGAACGACATTCTGAAGCTCATGCCATTCATTGGCCCATTGAAATACTTAGAAGGGGACTTTCAAGTTATCAGGTGGACCTTTGACTTAGCTGTTGGTGTATTCTGGTTTTAGCAAATGAACAGTTACTGAAGACTGTTTCCATAGTGAGTTCCACGAAGCAATGTCCGTCAGTGCCATGATCTTCTGCCTACTTGTTTTTATGCACTCTGAGATCCCATGTGAATTTTATTTCAGTTCTTTTGAAAGATGTCCCTTCTGACATTTGATACCTATAAAATGTTTGCTCGTGAAGAAGATGAGACCAGTCATGATAATGCTTCTCTTGGGTCACAGACACAGTAAAAGATTATTTAATAAAATTATTAGAAAGCGTGTTTTTCTGGCAGTCTGTCAAAGAAACATATAACAAGCTAAATGTCAACTATATTTAATTTAGGTTTTCTTATGTCATGCACTTAAAATAGTGAGATTTCGAATTCTCTTCTGAAGCAAACCTGCAGCCGCATTTAGCCTTATGTCTCCCCGATCGGGGAGTTAGTTAGACCTCCATGGGGACTCTCAGTGTTCCTGAGTAAGATTCTTATTGTATGAGCTTTAGCTGTAACCTGTGAAATGGACGTCTTAAAGACACATCCTTGGCCTGGTCCTCCGAGAAGGGAAGATACGCATTTCTACCACATGGCTTATATTAGAGCTTTATTCTTTTCCTTTTATTTTTCTTTCTTTCTTTTTTCTTTTGGAGACAGAGTCTTACTCTGTCACCCTGGGGTAGAGTGCTGTGGCTTCATAGCTTGCAACAACCTCAGACTTTTGAGCTTAAACAATCCTCTTGCCTCAGCCTCCCAGCCTCCCAAGTAGCTGGGATTATAGGCTCCTGCCACAATGCCCTACTAGTTTTTCTATTTTTAGTAGAGATGGAGTCAGCTCAGGCTGGTCTTGAACTCCTGAGCTCAAGCAATCCACCCGCCTTGGTCTGCCAGAGTGCTAGGATTACAGGCATGAGCCACTGCACCCAGCCAGAGCTTCATTCTTTAATTTAAGGCTCTGATTCCTGTTATGATACAGGGAAAATAGCCCCTCTCAGAGTAAATTGTTACATGTATTGGCTATTTTTATTTTAGCTGCAGATACTCTCCTGAGAACAGGCTTTACTATACAGGGATCAGCATGGGTGCGCTGTCAGTCAGAGGGTGAGAGAGGACACCACAATAAGGGTATTCTAAAGTCAGAGTGACGTTATCGGGCTGTGCTCCTAGGAGAGGAACCCGGGGTAGAAAAAGAGACGGGCTTTGTAGTTAATCAGACCTGCATGCAAATCATGACCCTTTGCTTACCTGGATGACTTTGGGCAAATCAGTTAACTTTTCTGCTTAGCTAATTTCAATTTCTGTGTAAAATGGTGTCTACTCCAGAATGAGGAGATTCAGCGATATATTCAATTTGTATCTCTCTGTCATGTTTAGCATAGTGCCTGGTACCTAGATTCTCAGGTACCAGAAATGTTCCTCATCTGATAATGCCGTGTCAGATGGATTAGAAGTACAGGAGCCCTTCAGGTGAGTCACAGTCTGCCTGAGTCTGTCCTCTGGACTTGGGTTGCTGCCCAGGCAGGTCTTTACTCAGTGTGTCCAGACTCATCATTGCCTTTCCCCTGGGAGGCTTCTGCTTGTGTGACGCCGTGCCTGGGCGGCCCATGTCTCCCTTCTCACCCTATCAAAATCTCTTCCTCTTTGAGGCCCACTGTTTAAATCCTGAGTAGTCCTTCCTTTAAGTACCTTTACCTATTTATTCGTATAGTTCATTTTGCTATTTATTTTTGTTGTCTTATGTTATTTAGATTTTTCTGATCTGTGTGTCATATTTTTCCTTAGTAGATGTGAGTGCTGAGAAGGGATTAACTGTACCTTGTTTGTTTTGTATTCACCGTGGCATCTTGGATGGTGTCGTGTACCTGGAAGTTGGCCTTCCCATGGTTTCTCAGTGACTGTTGCGTATTCTCTATTATTGGGATGATGGTGTTTGAGATAAAGCTAGGGGGAAAGTCTACAGTGGACTCTTTCACTCATCTCAGGGTTCAGTCACTGGGGGTCTCTGCTTGGACGGCATTTCCTTATTCTCTGCTATCAACATTGTCCAATTTGAAATAGGAAAGATGTATGACCCCCTGTGTGGCACTTTCCCCCTTTCCTTCTGGGTTTGGAGTGAATATTAGTATGAGCTCTACCCAGAAGGTAGAGGTTTTTCAGGACGCCAATAGGAGTCACTAAAATGCCAGCTGACGAGAGCCGGAGCGGACGAGTGAGATGTGTCTGCTGCTGTGTCCTGGCGGTGCTTGTGGCTTTCCGCGTTCCCCGGGTGGAACGTTCTCCGTGTGTCCTGGCGGTGCTCCTGGCTTCCCGCGTTCCCCGGGTAGAACGTTCTCCTGCAGAGCTGCTTTATGTTCTAGTTTCCATGGATTTTCCTGCATGGGGGGAAAGTGCCTTCCAGATCTGGTTCACTCACCTTTGACTCTTGGAAAGGAAAGTGGCAGGGACATCTGATGACTTACTATTAATTCTCTATGAACTTTACGACCAGGAATTCATTTCATTTCTTTAACTATTTAAGAAGACATTTGTTTTCTTTTTTGTGATAAAAGTAATATACGTTCACCATATAAAATAATGAAAGCTTTAGACAAAAAATATAAACTATTGTCTCATTACCCAAGCATTGTTACCATATTGGTGGATGTTTCTTTTCACTTTTTTCCCCCTTGCATGTATATATTTGTAGATAAACAAAAATCTCAATTATGTTTTTAAAAATTAATATTTTTAATTCTTTAAGAATGGCGCTGGGGTGGCGCCTGTGACTCAAAGGAGTAGGGCACCGGCCCCATATGCCAGAGCTGGTAGGTTCAAACCCAGCCCCAGCCAAAAACTGCAAAAAATAAATAAACAAATAAATAAATGGTTTTAAAGAATGGTGCTAACACCTATAAGCTAACCACTTTGGGATGCCGAGGCAGGAGGATCTCTTCAGGCCAGAAGTTCAAGACCAGCCTGGGTAACATAGTGAGACCCTGTTTCTACAAAAATAAAAATTAAAAAATTAGCAAGTGCATTTATACACCAGTAACCTCCTGGTTACTTGGGAGGCTGAGGCAGGAGGATTGTTTGAGCCCAGGAGTTGGAGGCTGTAGTGAGCTATGATTGCACTATTGCACCCCAGCCTGGGTAACAGAGCAAGACCTTGCTTCAAAAAAAATAATAGATGGATACATAGATAGATAGATAGATAGATAGATAGAAGAAAAGAAAGGATGTCAGAATCGTGAGTGTAATAGCCAAATAACTGCCTGACCACAGGATCACATGTTGTCTTACACTATGTTTGTTACTTTTGGTATAAGTCCTGGTTCATTTAAGAAGGTAAAATAATTATGTCCTCTGTCTTTCCGAGCATGCTAAATAGCAGCATTATTTTTATGTGCCTTTGTCTCTGAGCACCTGTTTTTATCCAGCCTTTGGCTTTAGTGCTAAGTGGTGCAGTCTGTCCTCTTCTGTTCTTCTTGGAAATAGGAAAGGTATATGACCTCCTCTGTCACACTTTCCTCCTTTCTCACTGGGTTTATGGAGAATTAAGTGAGTGCTGTAAAGGCTTTGTGGTTTGTACTGTACTGTTATCACTGTATTGCAGAAATAGTGTTTGTATGCTGTCTGTTCTCTCATAGTGGGTATTGAGTAGCTATTGAACATCCCGCTATTGAACAGCAACCATTTACAGTAGTTCATGCCGAGATTGTCTGCCAGAATCAAGATCTGAATTTAGGTGACTCTGTGTCAAAAACAAAAGGACAAAAAACAGAACCTGTGTTTAGAAGATACATTCAGTATCACCTCTTTAGTTCTTGATAAATCCAAATTTTTGTTCACTCTTTCAAGATGACTGATATCCTTTCTACTCCAAATCTAGTATCTGATTTGGGATCTACTTAGTCAATGGATAGACTATGGAGAAAAATAAAAACAGAAGCAGCTCTTCAGGAGGAGCTTAAAGAGAAAGTCTTTTTTTTTTTTTTTTTCTGAGACAGAACCTCAAGCTATCCCCCTGGGTAGAGTGCTATAGCTTCACTGCTCACAGCAACCTCCAACTCCTGGGCTCAAGCGAGTCTCCTGCCTCAGCCTCCCAAGTAGCTGGGACCACAAGCGCCCGCCACAACACCCGGCTATTTTTTGGTTGCAGCCGTTATTGTTGTTTGGTGGGTCCGGGCTTGATTCGAACCTGCCACCTTAGGTGTATGTGGCTGGCGCCTTAGCCGCTTGAGCCACAGGCGCTGAGCCAAGAGAAAGTCTTTTTCTACAAGTTTGACTTAATGCTTCAGCAAACTTGTTGGAACCTTGCCCATCTGTTATCTTTGAAAAAATAGATTGATCATTAATAAACTTTTTACCCAGGTAGTAATACAGTCAGTTCTACTGTAAAATGTTATAAAATCATTGTGTAGTAAAGCCACAAAGCTCATGGGGAAAATAGGGCTGGGGACATTGTACTTAAAAACTCTTGTTAGTGACACATTATGAGAAAAGAGATAGAAACCTGTTGCAGGTGACAGTACAATTTTTCCTGGACTAAATGGTTAAAAGTACACAGCTGCCTGATCATACTAAAACGCTTCTGCACAGCCAAGAACACAGTAAGAAAAGCAAGCAGACAGCCCTCAGAATGGGAGAAGATATTTGCATGTTAT